ACATGTTTTCATATATGTGTTTCACATTTTATATGCTTTTAACACTGATTATTACAACTGATAACCGATTGAACATACAGATCATGTATCATATATTTGTGAGATGAGTTTTAAACTATTATGTTTTACATATATTTCACAAATGGATTCCCACATTTTGTCAGTTAAAAGCATGACATTAGAATGTTTGAACATAATACCTGTACACTGTTTTGTCCTCGGTAACACTCCACATATATACGCGAGTGGAGGACTATCATATTATTACTAGTAAATTTGTTAATCCTATATGATTGGAGACACGTCCTCGGCGAACACTCCACAGAGATACGCAAGTGGAGGACTACACCCGTAACCAGAATCTCTGGGATTTAGAGAGCGTGACTTGAGTGTATAGATATATACGGGGCTGACTACCCCACACCTGCCTGCTAGCTACATCCGAACCGAAAAGGTTCATGGGTGACGAAAGTCATAAGTATGTGGACTACTTATTGCCATAGGTTTAGTCCATTGTACGGTTATGGAACTTGCAATTAGGATAACAGAGATTTACTTATGGTAATAATGAACAACCTTATACAATTCACAAGATAACCAGTTCTCTAGTATACATCTTTTACATTGGAAACCAACATTCAGGAAAGTATGGGACTTTCCTGAGGAAACATTGAACATAACCACGTATTCTGAAAACATCTTTTACATATAGTAACTAACAGTTAGGAAAGTGTGGAACTTTCCTGGGAAACCTTGTACATAACCAGGTCTAACAAGAATACATCATTTACATGTGGTAACCAACATTCAGGAAAGTACGGGACTTTCCTGGGAAAACATTACATAACTAGAAGCGGTAACAAATCAGATAACCTTACTTTACATCTTTTACAATTGATAACATACAAATCAGGAAAGTATGGGACTCTCCTGGGAATACATTGGTACATAACCAGAATAGTCTATCAATTCAGATAACTCAACTATACATTCTCACAAAAGTAAACATGTTTTCAGTGTACAATTCTACTTTACTTGTTGACAAACGATAATCAACCTTCTTAAGAAAATATGGGATTTTCTTGGTGTGTGTAACATTTTAGAAACATAAAGGAAACTTGAACAATTTCACAAACAAAACCACTTATGAACTCACCAGCATTATGCTGATTTTCAAACCGCTTGTGTTCTTACGTCAACATTAGAACAGGTACCCAAAGATCCTTTTTGCTTGAAGATGAAGTACTTAGAAGACCCGTTTCATATATATATATATATATATATATATATATATATATATATATATATATATATATATGTTATGTATCACAACTGTACAAATTTTACTTTTGAAACAACTGTAAAACTTTTCTTATGTAATGTAATGGTTGTTTTACTTTACTTACTATGTGCATTAGATTTGATACACAACGTGGAGTCAACCCCGGAAATGTTTCCGCCTTCGGTTTTCGGGGTGTGACAGTATGTCTTTCAATTTCCAAATTTGCCCCTATCTATTTTTTAATCTATCATGTCAAAACGTCGATGAAGTCCTCAATTTTCAAATTTCCCTTATCTATTTTTCCACTTTGGTGGGTCACTCACATACTCATTTATACCACTTTTTTTCTACCTAAATGCATGATTCTCTTGGTGGGAACTCAAACAAGAAAATCATAACAAATAGTAGCCCCTCAATATGGTCAGTATATTTGTCTTATGGTTATTATCTATGTGGATGTTTTGGCATTATTCTACTACTTTGTATGTGTGATTATAAAATATTTGCATGCAGTTCTGCAAATGAGATGTTAAGCCCTCTAAAATTTCCTCAGCGTGCCAAGCTTATTCAGTACAATGTACGAACATTCAAGTCTTATTTCATTTCTAATACAAATCTGAAATCCCAAATTTTGAATGTTATTGCATGAACTTGTTGTATTTATTTAGGACTGCGATTGAATGGTATCCAAGGGAAAATTTGTCACAAAAGGTTCTGAGGAAGAAAGCTAAGAAGGGTTCAAGATTGTGAAAACTTCTTCAAGTTTTTCAATCCACCACAAATTCCTGATGATGAAGATGTTATAGACGAGGATACGGTAAGTTTAGCTCTGCTTATTTATTTTAAAGAGAAGGGTAAAATGGTCATTTTAGTGGAAAACAGAAAGTCTTTGGCCATAAATACTAACCCCATACACACATCATTTATTCAGTTACCATATTATCGATCTCTGTACAGAAATGAAGTAAGGATTCATCTTCCTCTCCTTTATTTTCCTGGTACTAGGGAGAAGAATTATACTTTTTCTTTTATTTCCAAAACATAAAACTCAAAACTGATAGGGTTAATAACAGGAGATAACTTTCATTCTTTTTTCTTACCATATTGTAGTTTTCAAAAGCTACCTAATTTTAGATATTTGTTATAAAAGCTAGATATAATAGTCATTAACTCCCTTCTGTTGCTTATGTATTATGATTCTCTTCCATACTATTTAAACAAGATGAAAAACTGTAGAATCAGATGGAACATGATTATGACATTGGGTAGGTACTCTTTAATTTGCAAATGTATAATTACATGAAATTCATCAAAGATTTGCATTTTTCTCTTTTATTTGCCAGAAAAAAAAAACTTTAGATTGATCAACTTGAGTTAATATAAATTTATTTTGCTGTTTCTTTTTTTTCCATCAAATTTTGTATTAAAAATATTTTAGAAAATGTAACAATACAATTGGGGCAGAAAGGACATGTGATGTTTCATTTATATCTTTTCCACGGCCTACCAACTGATATTGTTGATGTAATTCTCAGATTCCAAAAGGAGGGAAGTGGATGACAATGATTCCTTCATGTTTAATGATGTATTTACTGCTCCTCTTTATCGTATAAAGGTGAGACCAGTCAACTTTTATACAAATATATAATGTGAAGTTCGTATGAAATTGTAATGGAATGAATCATTCCATTCCCTTGCTTATGTCATTATTCCATTCCATTCCGTGTACATGGTTAGTGTGTATACATGTATACATGTGTATATATATATATATATATATATATATATATATATATATATATATATATATATATATATATATATGCATTCTGATGTACTTCTAAAGGTTGTTGACATTACTTGCCATCTACACCCGGTGGACATCAACCAATTTTTTGACATGTAGGATTTTTTTGACATGATATCTGAAACATGGTATCCCTTAATATCAATGTAGTATTAGTTTATAGAGTTAGGGAAAACCTCTTAATGCCAATGTACAGTCATATCCCCTTAATACCAGTGTATTACAATTTTTTGTCATACTGTTATTAGATGAAATTGATTGTTTTGGTTTATATTTGTTTCCGTATTTTTGTATTATGCATAAATAAGTATCGTAAAGACGGGTTGTAAATGCATATTGTAAATGGTTGTTGAAGTTTATAACACGCAAATGCGTGTCATCTTCATTTATGCCAGCGGATTTAATGATACGCAATGCATGTCCTAAACGTGCGTCGTAAGCTTATGACACACAAATGTTTGTCGTCTTCCTTTATGACAGGGTCTTCCGTGATACGTATCAAGTGTCATAAATGAGCATCAAAAATTTGTGTTGTAATTGCGCGTCGTAAATGCTCATCGTCTATAGACAGTGCGCAAAAGTGTGTCGTCTCTCGTTATGACAGGGCCTTCCTCGACATGCATTTGCGCGTCGTCTTAGCTTTTACGACACGTATTGTCCGTCGTAATAGGCTGTTTTTCTAGTAGTGTATATATATATATACACACACAAATCATTTGATGATATACGGAGAGGTATATACAATGATAGTGTGATGTGTGTGTCTATATATATATATATATATATATATATATATATATATATATATATATATATATTTGTATAAGGGTACTTATGTTAAAGATAAAACATAAAGGCCTAAGGTTAATGTGTTAGTAAGTTGGTTATTCATCCAAAAGCCTTGATTAAATTCAACATATCTCCAATACCAATAATCATTAATTTTTGGAGAGCTAGGAAGTTATGTATAGATCTATACAGGCCCATGATAACCCCGCCTGCGATTGCTAGGTACAATCCCAATAAGATACTTCCATATAAGTTACTATTTGATGTCCAATGAAGCGTCCTGATTATGGATATATTTAAGGTTGTAGTGTTGATTATAAGGGCTCACGTTAATAAATAAAAATTTGCCTTAGAGCTTAGATTACCATTATGGATGCCTGGTATGGTAATTAAAATACGTTAGGATCGTTAGATATCCTAAAAAGATAGTAAAAAGTATTAATAAAAGATATCCTAATTAAAATATGTTAGGATCATCGGATCTCCTAAAAAGATAGTAAATTAGGATTAATGAAATATATCCTAATTTAAATATGTTAGGATCGTCAAATATCAAAAGATAGTAAATTAGGGTTAATAAAAGATATCCTAACTAAAATCCGTTAGGATTGTTAGATATCCTAGAAAGATAGAAAGCCAGATTAATAATTAAGAAGGGTTTTCTCAAAGAAAAGGATACTTAAAAATAATCAAAAAATAAAAAATCCTTCACTCACCAATATTAGGATGACTTTCAATATACATCTATTCTTCGGAAGAGGAGTGTGGAAGAGTGTTGCCCAAGTATGAAGGAAGTTGAAAGGAAGCTGTTGAAGTTTACTATAGTTATTTTAGGAGTTTGTGCCTGTCCCTAAAACAATGTAATCCTTGGAAAATGAATAATAAAATAATGTTTAAAATATACATTTGTTTTTTATTGTACATGTTTCCTATATACAATTATCCCTACATCACGTTGCCCAGTGTTTCAGTCAATGATTGGGCAGGGTGTGACATCCAACAACTCTTCTCCTCACAATAGTGCAGATACTGAAGTGGTTCCTATACTCGATCAAAGAACATAGGTTAACGCTTCTTCACCTATTCAGTTTGGTTTTCGTGGAAGTGAAGATGAAATTGAAGATGCCAGGTCCTCTCCTCCAAGACCAAATAAGCACATTATTTTTCCCTCCTCTTCTTTATATCCATCTCCTTGACCTGAACCCATCAATGCAGCATGAATCAATTCCTCCACAAGTTGATCCATCCATTTCTCTAACATCTCCATCCCACAATATTCGACAACTCCTCCACTCGTTGATACACGTAGCACTCCTCCGTGGGCATCTCGGCATGAAGTTGGTGCTACTTGTGTTCCTTCTACACAGTTACCTCCCTTTCAAACTACGGCTACTTTTCATGGGATTATAGTTCATCATATTTTCATTCAGGTATTCTCTCCAAGATTACACTATTGGTCAACATGATTTTGAGGTTGTTATGGCTCACATAAATCATATTGTTTCCATGGTAGAAGATACTGAAGATATTGCTGACTCTCCCTCCGGTTCTCCTCACGATGATCAGCCTTCTCCACTACCTCCACCACCACCTACTGGTAACAATTTTCTAGCTCTATTTCAACCTCCTCCACCGTCAAATCCTCATTCTCCAATTACATATCCACCTCTCAACACTCCTCTAGGGTCTCTTACACATGTTGATGATTCCATAAAGGGAGAGAAGGATAAAGGAGTTGTAGTGTATGCTTACAATTATGATGATGATGATGATGATTAGCCTGACACTAATGATGAGTATGGTTTTTTGGTTATGGAATTCATGTCACGAGTATGCCTTCAAGTGTTAATAATACAGAAGCTACTCTTAATGTAGAGATTCCTAAAGATGCTGATAGTGTTGTTGAGTTAGATGATGATTAACTCATCACAAGGAAAAGGAAGGCCACTACGTCCTCAGGGGGAGTTCACGATGCTGGTGAAGGCACCTTTACTCCTTCCAACAGGAAAAGGAAGGTCAAGGTCAATCTAGACTTATTGGACAGGGACTAAATATTGCCAATTGAGGAGGTCAAAAAAATTCTCTTTTAGTATAATGCCTCTAGGAAACAAGAGAATGTTGAATGTCGTTCCTCCAAGATTACACTGATATTTGTCTTTACTAAAGGAGGCATCAATGAAAAACGGTCAAATGTCCAACACTTTAGTAATCTGGATGCCAAACAAAAAAGGATTTCTGAGCTGAATGACCATATTGACCAGAGGAAATTCGAGAACCTTTTAATTCGAAGAATTAAACTAGATCCTATAATTATGGTTAGGTATACTAAACCCAAGGATGAAATACTGAAGGTTCATCTAACCAAAAAGAAAGCTTAGTATGCATAAACTAAAATTGTATCCGCAAATTTTATGGTCAAGTACGGTTATGGAGAGTGGAATTAGATTTAGGATTGAATTTCCAAACACAAAAGTATTCAGGCTCAGGAGCTAAAGTTGGCACTACAACAAATGAGCCCCAAGGTAAACAAGTTAAATCTAGAATCTTCAACATCTCCTTCTCGCCTTCTGCCTTAGCATCAATGCAAAAGCAAAGCTAATCCAAATATGCCAAGTTCATTATTCCTTTTGGAACTGTATACATCAACAATAGGTTGCCAGTAGGTGTTGATTCGATTGAATGCTTGTTCATTCAAGAGCCTTATCATGGTATATTTTATCTCGATGGATAAAATCTTATGTGTTTTCAACGTATTGATGTCACACCCCGAAACCTAGGGTGGAAACGTTCCAGGGCGGAGGTGACTTCATGTGAATATCATAACTAATGTACATAGTAAGCGAAGTAAACACAAAACACTACATTACATAGATTTCATTATTTCAGTTTGAAAGTAAAGTAGTACAAGTTTCATAGATACATAAGTTTAAACAAAAGAAAGACGTGACTTGCATGCGCTCCGTCTTCAAAAGAACGTAGGATACCTGTCTAAGGAGAACCTGAGAATACAGGCATTTTAAAAATCAACATAAAGCTGGTGAGTTCATAAGCGGTTTGTTTTATGAAAATGAACAAGATTCCTTTTGTTTTCTGTAAAAGTGGATATCCAAGAAAATCCCATATTTTCTTAAAAGTAATGTTTAGTTTTCTGTTATGTTACTCAATTCTAGTTATGAATAGTTATTACCCCAGGAAAATCCTATATTTTCCTAAAAGTTGGTTACCAATCCGAAATGTAATGTAAAAGATGTATACTGAAAACCTGATTATCCTTGTGAAGTGTGTGTTAGTCCACCAATCCAAAATGTAATGTAAAAGATGTATAGTGAAAACTTGATTATCCATGTGAAATGTATGTTAGTTTTAACACATATATAAAACTATAAACATAGTAAACTAATTCTTAAGGATATTAATTTACTATATCCATTACTACTAAAAAGTAAATCTCTGTTATACAAATTGCGACTTCCATAACCATACGATAGACTAGATATGGCAATAAGTAGTCCAACACACTTTATGACTTTCATCACCCTTGAACCTTTCGGTTCGGCTGTAGCTAGCAGCCAGGTGCGGGGTAGTCAGCCCTGTATAGATCTATACACTCAAGTCACGCTCCCTATTTAAGATATTCTGGTTACAGTGGCGGTCCTCCACTCACGTATCTCTGTGGAGTGTTCTCCGAGGATGTGTCTCCAATTTATAGGAATAACAAATCTACAAGTAATAATGCGGAATATGATGTTTAAGTTCTATCTACAAAGATGATCCTCCACTCGCGTATCTCTGTGGAGTGTTACCGAGGACATAACAATATACTAAGTTTCATGTTCAAATTTCAAAGGTTATGTTTTTAACTATTATAATGTGGAAAACCATTTGTGAAAAATATAAAGTACAACAATTTATAACGTTTTTCACAAATACTACGATAATGTCATCTAGAACTTCAAACGGTTATCTGTTATGATTGACAGTGTTAAAAGAATATGTAATATGAAACATAACACATATAAAAAAACTTTTGAGTACAAGTATTACTAGTACGTTGCTTGTATTCCCCCCTGAAAAAAGTGAAAAACATTGACAAAGGGTAGGGGTATGAACTCACCGGACGAGGAATGTGTCGACTAGGATGCTAAACGTCGGATCGAGGCTTGAAAACCTGTGAGGTTGCTGTGTAATATTAAATGATACACAAATGTATCTAATTAGACTTTAAATCACTAATCAGATACGATTATACACACCAATACGCGAAAACACTTCAATTTAAGTGTTAGGAGTGACCCGGGTGACTTTTATGGACGTATATGGCTTGCGTATAGAGTTTACTCTTCAAGAGTAAACTCTTAGAAGATTTTTTCAGCCCTAAAAACCACATCCCTATGAGTTTACAACCGTAAACTCATGGATGGTGTTCTTAAGTGCTAAATTATCTTATATCATTTGAGGGGTGATGCTAGGTTTGGTTCTAGGACATTAGAAAGGGATGTAATCAATCATATGGACCATTTGATGAGTTTATGGTAGTAAATTATGAGTTTAAGGCTATAAACTCTCACCCACTCAATCCTTATGTGCTTTGAAGGTCATAGGTTAATCACAAGTGATTCTACTCACTTTTACAGGCCAAGGGGTGAATTTAGGGCACCATTTAACCAATTTATAGGAGTTTATGGCCTAGGGATCCATTCTTGGAGGGTTTACGGCCGTGAACAGATAAGGGAAGGGTTTTCATCAAGTTTAAGGCTTTCTAATTCGATTGTGGTTGCTTCTAGTTATTAGTTCAAGCTTTAGGAGGTGTGTAAATGGCATTTTAACACCTAAAAAGGAGTTTACTACCCATGATATCGAGTTTATGGCCCAAGCATGTTCTTGAGCAGTAGACTCATGTTTACACCCCAAATGATGAGTTTAAGGTGTTCTAAGTCCAATCCAATAAGTCCTTAAGCCATATCTAAGCTCTAATGGTGGTTTGGAAGGGTTTTAAGGTTCAAAAACCCTATTTATATGTGTTCACATCCCAAGAGTGCTCCAGGGCTGTAAACACATGTTTATGGTCCTAAATCATGAATTGAACATGAAATTGATGGTTAAAGATGTTATACTGGGAGTTTGGATAGTTACCTTGGTCATTTGAAGCTTGAAATGAGTGATTTTGGATAAATAAGTTGGATTTGAGGAGAGAGGTTAGAGAGAGAGTGAAAAGGCTTCAAATGAGGCTTAAACAACTTTAAATATGATTTGGATTTGAGACACGGTGGAATTCTACCCGATACTAACGTTAACCGAGGCTTTTGGTCGCACCCAATTAAGTTGTCGCAACCCGATATGGTCAAAACTAAAATATTTCTAATTACTAGTTTGGGACGTTTTCATGTGTTTCTAACATGTTTGGATGCTTATGAGGTCAAAATAAAAGTCTTAACTTAAATGACCTAATCCAAAAACAAAATCGGAACAATTCGCTTAAGACGAGTTTTACGGACGGAACGGGTTGCGGCGATGTAACAACTTCGGGTTGTCACATTATCCCCCATTAGAGGGAATTTCATCCCAAAATTCAAAGATTTAGATAGAAGTTATGGAAAAAGGGTTGCGGACATATATGTTTCATCGAATCCTTTAAGTTTCCAAGTGATTTCAGGTTTCTGCTCGACATTCCAGCGAACCTTCACTATCGGGATGCGGCTTGGTTTCGTACGTTTGATTTCTCGGTCTATGATTTCAATTTGTTCAAGAGGTATTACTAGGGTTTCATCGGACAGACACTTCTAAACATTTGGGACATGGAAGACAGGATGGATGTTTCTATGTTTTAAAGGTACTCGGAGTTTGAAGGCTACAGGGTCGATCCTAACGAGGATCTCAAAGGGTCTAATGTACCACGTGTTAAGTGATCTGTGCTTTCCATAGTGTATCCTATCTTTCCAGGGCGAGACCATTAATAGGACACGATCTCCAGCCTGGAATTCCAGAGGTTTCCGTTGTATATCAGCGTAATTCTTCTATCGATCTAGTGAAGTTTTCAATCGTTTCTTGGATCTGGATGATCTTCTCGATGATTTTGCGGATGATTTCAGAACTAGTGTGGGTACTACCGGGAAATCGACTCTTGGCTGGCTGCGCGTCTCCTACCTTGGCCTAACACAAGGGAATCTGTACTTTTGACTGTAGAGGGTTGCAAATGGTGCAGTCTGGATGCTGGTGCGATAACTGTTATTATACGAGGGCTCGATCAAAGGTAAATGGGTATCCTAAGTCGCTTAGTAATTTATGACACATGCTCCCAGCATGTAGTCCATGACCTGAATAACTCTCTCACTTTGTACAATTTTCTGAGGATGATAAGTTGTACTCATGTCTAGCTTGTTCCGTGAGTTTTCTGAAGGAATCTACCTAAATCTTAAGGTAAACCTGCTATATCAACCAAAGATAATGGACGCAGGTATACTATGCAGTCGGACTACTTCTTGGATGTGGGTTCGTGTGAGTCTTTCCATCTTGAATGATTCTATGATCGGAAAGAAGTGAGCATATTTTATCGAAGGATCGACCATTTCCAAATGGTATCGTACTCACTCGGGAAAACTGGGTAACTTGATGGTGAAATTCATGCTGGTTATCTACCATTCACATTCGGGTATCTAGGCTGCTGGAACAGTCTTGATGGTTTATGACTAGGCTTCTCAGGTCTGAGCGAGTAAACGGGGACAGATAGTCAATGTTAATGTCTTAGTCTTGCTATCTAAGCTTTCCTTGTCGGATAAGGG